ATTATAATTATTATTATTATTATTATTATTATTATTATTATTATTATTATTATTATTATGAATTTTTCATTATTTTACCTGAAAATGTTCTAATCAATCTTCTATTTGTTGAAATACTTACTTTTCCATCATCTTCCATTTATAATTTTAATATTGAATAAGATTATTTTAAATCATAATCATTACTTACAGAAACATTTACCATCTTTTTATTTTTTCCTTTATTCATTATTATTTATTTTGGACTACTTTAAATACTTAAACTAGATTAACTTCTATATTTCATAAATAAAACTGGATCCATTATTATCAAAACTATTTTTCTTATTTAAATAACAATATTTATTTCTTTATTTCTTTATCTAAATATAAATATAAATATTTATTTTTTATTAGTAATTATATAATTCTCTTATTTCTGGAAGCGGTCAAATAATTACAATTGTTTATAAGATAATTTTTATTAGAATAAGTACATAATGATAATCTGTATGAATATTTTATTTATTTATTTTTCAGTTTCACTAGAATTTCTTTATATACAAATATTTTTAAGCTAAATATAAACTCTTCAATTAAGGGTTATTATATTATTTATACAACATATACTTAATTTTTTTCCCCTTTCAGCATTTCTTAAAACCTCATACTAAAAATTCAAGTAAAGTATATTAAGTGGGATCATGATACTGATAGAGAGGAACCCTTAAGCCTCTCTAAAGGTGAGAGGATTAAGAGAATAATATCAACTAAATATGAAGAAAACATAGAATGAACTCAGTTCTTTTTCAATAACAACAGTTTGATCACAGGCATACCATACTTAAGTTAACTTTTGAAATAAATTTAAGAAAAAGGCCATATATTTATGTTATGAAAAGAGATTTTCACTCCAAAATTACTTAGCCAATTTATTTTTAAATGGCCAAAAGCTGTAAATCAAGATATATGTTAGTTGTAATAATATGAATATTATTTAAGAATCAAAGATATCAAACCATTTGAGATAAAACCAATCAGTATATATATTCATTTTTATGAGATTTATAATAATTTTTTTTGTCTTATTTAAATAATCTAGACCTCATGGTTGTTAAAATAATTTAATATTTTTATATATTTATTTATTTTTGATCATCTGAATACTTCGTTCAAATATTTCTTCTCATCAAACAATTTTTCAATTGATAATTCTGGAATCTCCACATCTTCCCATTTACCTTCTCTATCAAAAAGGTAAAATTCATTTTGCTAATTGTTATAATAAATCATATCGTAATCAACTCTGATAGTGTGCTCAAATAAATTAAATCTGGAGCTCTAATTGTAATCACCAAATGTAGTAGGGATAATGTTTTAAGGTACAACCTATCATAAAAGACTATTGAAACATATTTAGTATAAATTCCTGAATGAGCCAAGCATTTCAATTACAATAGATTAGATTCCTTTGAATATGACATCCCAACGACAAAATGTTTGCCATGATCAAACAAATACCTCTCAAGAAAGATGGGAACAAGTTGAAAGTATTCTTTGAAAGGTACATAAGATTATGAAAAATTATTTAATTTTTAATCTAGTATATGTTAGTAATACTAATACCTGAAATTGATGACTTGTATAAAGGAATCAATGTATTTTGATTAATAGAGGAAATGCTAACTTTGTTAATGAAATGATATCTGAACAAGGATTTCATTATTTAATATTAATAATATAAATATTTATAATTCTTATCAATATTATATATTTTTTTGGAAACTTAGTCTATTTATTTATTATTTAATGTGCTCTTACATAGATCCACATTCTCCATTTAATATTTCTTAATATATATCTAGAGCTTGCTAAAGTAATCCAAGCTTTTCATTTGTCTCTGCCAATTAAATTTCAAATTGATTAATTTCCTCTTTAAGCATATCTTAAATTTTAGCCCAGTTTATTGCTTTTTATAATAACTCTTTAGCTGTTAAATATTCCTCGATATTATAAAATTCTTTGCTTAGACGAACCATTAAATTTACTTATCCAGTCTAAGAAAATACAAAATATTTAATACATCAGTTTTATTCATTTCTTTCAAAGCTGAATTAGCATCTCTAAACCTTTTACCATCTTTTAAACAATTTAATGCAATATATCCCCAAACTGTATCATTTGTAGGTTCATAAAGATTAGCCATTCTTAGGGCATCTTCTGCCTCTTTATACTTTCCACATTCGTGAGAAGAAATACCCAATCCCATCCAAGACAATGATGAATTTTCTTTAATTTAACATGCTTTAGTGAATACAGCTCTAGCATTACCAAATTATTTTTCATTTATATAAATTGAACCTAACATCAAATACATACTAAAATAAGTAATCTGATCTTCTCTCAATTTTGGATTTGGTAAAACGAATTTAATCTATTTCTCGCATTTATCTAAAGATTAACTCTTAAACAATACTTTTATGTATTCAATACGCATTTCTAAATTTTCAGGATTAAACTCTTTAATTATTATAAGATAATACCTAGCATATTTTCAATTAAATCTAAGCACTGAGAATATTCAGATTTGTATAAAAATATCTTTGCTCTTAACATAACAATTTTATTATGAGATTTATCATTTAATAAACTAAGTGATTCTTCAGCTTATTCAAGGAGACTAGCATTTTCAAAGAATTCTACTAACTATAAAATCATCTGATCATATTATTATTCAGTCAATTATGGTTAATTATGAGCATTTTCCCAAGCAATTCTTTGTTATTCTCTTTATTCTAAAATAGCCTTATCTTTTTCAGGTTTATCTGGAACTGGAATTGGAATCTTAATCCAAGGAATATCATATAATTAAGGATCATCATGATGCATTCCCTCTTATTTAATAAGATTCAGCTGTCTAAGCCATATTCTTTCAGCCTTTTGCATCATGAAATCAGCTAATTCTTAATCTGATTATTAAATAATAAGATAGTAAAATAGATGATAAATTAAATTGTTTGGATCTTTATCTAATAATAATTCTAATATGAATTTAGCTTCTTAAATTTTTTCTCTTTTTTAATACAAACCAGCTAATAATAATTAATTTTATTGATTATGACCATCAAAAGATAGAGCTTATTCTACAAGTGTTACTGCTTATTCTATTTTTACACACCTAAGACAGAAGAAAGCAAATTTCATTAAAGCATCTTAATCTTTTGGATTAATCAGATTTAAATCTCTTAGATGTTTTTCTACCTCTTCAGTTCTATTTAAAATTTCATATTCTTAACATAATCTCTCAAGTTACTGTTTTCGAGTTTCATTTGTTTTTTCAGTTATGATTTCTTAAAATCCGATATCCTAAATAGTTTTTTTCTTTGAAAGTAAATGAGAAAAATCCTCTTACAATGCTTCTTTATTCTCTCTCACCATATTAATTAATACTTATCTCATTTCTTCCATTAAAAACACATAAAGTTCTGAATAAAATTAATCAGACTAATCTGTTGAAATACCTGTTACTGAACCAGATTTACCAAACTTATCTCTGCATAACTTTACAATACTCTTCTTTATTCTTTCCTTTAAAATCTTGTATTTTCCTGATATATTGAAATCATATAAAAAATGCTCTTTTCTCTATTAAAGAGATTATTTCTTATGAGTCATTAGCATATTACTTTACTTTTCATTTTGATATTTGTTTAAGTCTTTCGAAAACATATTAGAATATTCCATAGCTAATGATTCTATTATGACCTGCAAATCACTCCTTAATTCCTCAATACATTGTTAACTTAATGGGATTGGTTGAGGTTCAGGAGCTAAAGGAATCAAATCTTAAAAAGTTGGTTATGGTTCAAATCTTATAGGGGTTATTGGTTGAGATAAATTGATTTTTAAGTACATATACATTGTTTCTATATTAGGTTTTGGTGTTTCAGGAGGAAATTATTCATCCATATACTAAGTAAACTTTATTCTTTAAATAGTTTCAGTTTATCCTTATTTTTAAAATGGTAAATAATCTATCCAGGCTTTAAATACTATGATATTTAAATCATTAATATTTAAAGTTTTAGGTTTTGTTTTCTTAAGTTTTGCTACTTCTTCATCTCCTGGAATGGGAGATTTATATAAAAATATCCATTCACCTTTATCAACTCTCACTCTCTCTTATTATATCACTAATTTTTATCCAGTTAATTCTTAAGTAAACTAATTTTAATCAAACTTAATGCTAGGACTTTTGTATTGATCTTCTTGAGTCTTATAAAATTATTCCTCCTCTGTCAATGCATCCCATTCTGCCTTAAGTTTCTATTATTCTTCTAGTTCCATTTATTCTCTAAGAAGCTTTTCTTTCTCCTCTTCTGGTGTTAATTTAGGAGGCTTAGACTATTAATTGATTTTACTTCAATTTTAGCATCTTTTTTTGGTTGCTTTTTAGCCTTTTTTGCTGCTTCTGCTTCTTCAATTTCTCTTTTCTCCTTTTCAGTCAATTCTCTAGGAATTATCTTCCCTCCTGATAATCTTTAATCAAGAAATGCAACTGAGTATTAAAATAAATTAGGATTTGCTTCATCTGTTACTCTCCATTCCTCAGGAAATGAAAATACACCATTTATAACAAAATTCATCTTGATATTTGTTTTTCTAGCTGGCAATCTTTCGAGAAGTTTTAATTCATTCATGATAATTATTATAAATAAAAAAAATTTCAAATACTAAAAATTGTCCAATTCCTAATTAGATATTATCCAAATTCAAAGATTTAATTGCAAAATTAAATTTGATGCAATAGAAGGCTAGATTCTGGAAAAATAAATTAGTTTTAATAAAATTTTGTAAGGAAGAAATAATATTTCTATTGTAAGCCAGTTTTAATTCACTTATATAGTATTAGGATAACAAATTAGCAAAAATGGCAAGATATAAATCTAAAGAAGATATTCTTTAAATTTTAAAGTAGCTAAATATTTTTTCAGTTATCTATAGAGATGATTAAATTATTGAATTCAAACAAAAAAATATTTCATGTATTTTCTATTTACATTTGTTTCAATTATCATATTTAACATATTTATATTTATATTTAGATAAAGAAATAAAGAAATAAATATTGTTATTTAAATAAGAAAAATAGTTTTGATAATAATGGATCCAGTTTTATTTATGAAATATAGAAGTTAATCTAGTTTAAGTATTTAAAGTAGTCCAAAATAAATAATAATGAATAAAGGAAAAAATAAAAAGATGGTAAATGTTTCTGTAAGTAATGATTATGATTTAAAATAATCTTATTCAATATTAAAATTATAAATGGAAGATGATGGAAAAGTAAGTATTTCAACAAATAGAAGATTGATTAGAACATTTTCAGGTAAAATAATGAAAAATTCATAATAATAATAATAATAATAATAATAATAATAATAATAATAATAATAATAATTATAATTATAATCAGTTTAAAACTTTTTTCATCNCTTCTTGAGTCTTATAAAATTATTCCTCCTCTGTCAATGCATCCCATTCTGCCTTAAGTTTCTATTATTCTTCTAGTTCCATTTATTCTCTAAGAAGCTTTTCTTTCTCCTCTTCTGGTGTTAATTTAGGAGGCTTAGACTATTAATTGATTTTACTTCAATTTTAGCATCTTTTTTTGGTTGCTTTTTAGCCTTTTTTGCTGCTTCTGCTTCTTCAATTTCTCTTTTCTCCTTTTCAGTCAATTCTCTAGGAATTATCTTCCCTCCTGATAATCTTTAATCAAGAAATGCAACTGAGTATTAAAATAAATTAGGATTTGCTTCATCTGTTACTCTCCATTCCTCAGGAAATGAAAATACACCATTTATAACAAAATTCATCTTGATATTTGTTTTTCTAGCTGGCAATCTTTCGAGAAGTTTTAATTCATTCATGATAATTATTATAAATAAAAAAAATTTCAAATACTAAAAATTGTCCAATTCCTAATTAGATATTATCCAAATTCAAAGATTTAATTGCAAAATTAAATTTGATGCAATAGAAGGCTAGATTCTGGAAAAATAAATTAGTTTTAATAAAATTTTGTAAGGAAGAAATAATATTTCTATTGTAAGCCAGTTTTAATTCACTTATATAGTATTAGGATAACAAATTAGCAAAAATGGCAAGATATAAATCTAAAGAAGATATTCTTTAAATTTTAAAGTAGCTAAATATTTTTTCAGTTATCTATAGAGATGATTAAATTATTGAATTCAAACAAAAAAATATTTCATGTATTTTCTATTTACATTTGTTTCAATTATCATATTTAACATATTTATATTTATATTTAGATAAAGAAATAAAGAAATAAATATTGTTATTTAAATAAGAAAAATAGTTTTGATAATAATGGATCCAGTTTTATTTATGAAATATAGAAGTTAATCTAGTTTAAGTATTTAAAGTAGTCCAAAATAAATAATAATGAATAAAGGAAAAAATAAAAAGATGGTAAATGTTTCTGTAAGTAATGATTATGATTTAAAATAATCTTATTCAATATTAAAATTATAAATGGAAGATGATGGAAAAGTAAGTATTTCAACAAATAGAAGATTGATTAGAACATTTTCAGGTAAAATAATGAAAAATTCATAATAATAATAATAATAATAATAATAATAATAATAATAATAATAATAATAATTATAATTATAATCAGTTTAAAACTTTTTTCATCCAGTATTTAAAATACCTACTCCTTTACATTAAATAAGTTTAAAGAAATAAATAAAATCAATTATTGTTAAAATACCAGATAAAACTATTCCTAAAAAATAAAATGCTACAAGTGAATTAATTAGAAAAAAAATATTAAATGCATAAAGAAAAAGTTCTATTTTAACTAAATATATTCCTACTAAAATATCTATTGAACCTAAATTATCATATTAAAAGTATATTTTTTATTTTTATCTATTTTAGATTATTTTAATCATCTAATTAATATAATAATCATCATCATAATCATAATAATTCAATTACTTTTGATTCACATTATATTTGATATCTATATTTATATAATATTCTATTTATTATCAAATATATATATAACATATATTTAATAGTACAAAGTTAATTCTTTTATATTTAAAATTAAAATTGAATATTATTAATAAAAAAATACTTATTGTAATATATGTATATTTATATACTCTTCATTGATATCAAATCAAATTCAAGAGTTTCTTTATTTTTGATATTTTGTATTCTAATGAATCCTCTTCTTTCCAATCGAAAAAATCAAAATCTATGACATTTTGAGTTTCAAGTGCTTTCAAATGTCTTTATTTATGTATGACAATACCTATATTGCATCACCGTGTTAAATGATTTTTATTTAATTTATCCATCCAAAGTTGATATAAAATGTAGTGGCCCATTACAATTAATTACATAATTGTCCATCACTTTAAAATCAATATCATAAATAAGAACTTTTTAAAATTTAAGGAATTTTAATTACAATTTTTATAGTATCTAAATAATTTCAGCTTCTAAAAGAGTTTAAGTTCGACTAATAGAATCCTCTCTTAATCTTAAAAGATAAGGAAAATTTTCATTTTCAAAATAATCAATTGATACTCCAATTTTTTTTCTTTGAAGGATTTATCTACATACTTAATAATCTCTCTTTAGAAATTAGAAATACATTTAAAAAGGAGTATTCGGATTACAGGAGAGTTGATTTAAAGGTTAATTGATAATTTCAGGATAAAGATTAAACATCATTTAAGCAAATTAGAATGTAAATTTAGACAAATATATATGTTTTTATTATTTTCCAAGTTTGTAATATAAAATATCTAGAAGTTTAATGAGATGTTCTTCTTAANAATAATAATAATAATAATAATAATAATAATAATAATAATTATAATTATAATCAGTTTAAAACTTTTTTCATCCAGTATTTAAAATACCTACTCCTTTACATTAAATAAGTTTAAAGAAATAAATAAAATCAATTATTGTTAAAATACCAGATAAAACTATTCCTAAAAAATAAAATGCTACAAGTGAATTAATTAGAAAAAAAATATTAAATGCATAAAGAAAAAGTTCTATTTTAACTAAATATATTCCTACTAAAATATCTATTGAACCTAAATTATCATATTAAAAGTATATTTTTTATTTTTATCTATTTTAGATTATTTTAATCATCTAATTAATATAATAATCATCATCATAATCATAATAATTCAATTACTTTTGATTCACATTATATTTGATATCTATATTTATATAATATTCTATTTATTATCAAATATATATATAACATATATTTAATAGTACTTTTAAGATAAATTTACTTAATTCATAATTTTATACAATAATCTGCAATATTATTGTGTCTCTTTTAATAATAATAAGCAACTATGATTAATAATATAAATATATTTTTTTCTGCATTTTCACATTCCTCACTTAAATAAGTCTATATGGTATTAGTGGATAGTAAAATATCAAAATTAATATACCAGTTACCTCTCAAAATAAAATATAAGTATTCACCAAAAATGAAGAGAGAATGCCGATAAAGCAATCAACTGTGTTAAATTAAAGAAATTAGAGTTCTTTTTGAGTTAATTTTGTGGAATATTAGAATAATTAAATAAATTATATAACCAATTATAGAGTATAAAGTTAATTTAAATAGAATTATCAAAATCAGTTATCAGGAATATTTATACATAGAAAGTTAATTAGTCTTTATTGATTCTATTTCAGAAAGTGCAATATCTAATCTTTCCCTTAATGCTTCCATTTCAATACTACAAAGTACTTTTTCATATTAATAGTTAACTTTATTAAAGTCTTAATATTAATAATGCAATTTCTATGTTTATTTACCAATATTTACATGAATCTCCTCTTATAGATTTTGCTTTTCTTTCTACAATGCTGTTACTTATTTGTTCAATTAATTAATTGTTTCTTTATTATCAACTAATTCTTTATTTCTTAATTGTGATTAGTAATTGAAATTATCGATTTCTTTTTATTACTGTTAGAGTTTTTAATCATATCGAATCTTAACTAATAATTCAATAAAATACTTTTTGTTATGATTATGACGACAAATCATTTAATAATTATTATCTTTCTTATTGAAGTTGTTGGATTTCATTTGTCATTAATTAAAACTTCTAAGTAATATCATCTTAGAATTCTTATTCAAATTTTCCTTACTTCATTCTTGCCTCTGTTAATTCTTATTCATAGTTTTCACGAATAGATAGTATTTGCTATTGTAATTAATCATACTTTAATTATAATTGAGAGAATTATATATTTAATGATTTAATTTAATTATCTTTTTCTTGGGAGAGGACTTAAGCTTGATTTAATTAATTGAGCATTTCTTATTCATAGATATTTTTTGAAAGATTTTCATGATTTTTTTTTTCTTGTAATTGATTATTGAGACGTTTATTTATGGAATTTAAATTTTCAAATTCATTTCTTTATTCTACAATTTTAGTTTCATATATAGAAATTTATGATGAGAGTATTTCTAATTGATTTTAGAGTTCATGATTTTAAGTATCCAACTTTCGAACATCCATACTTAATATTTCTAATTAAGAGTTTCTTATTTTTAAATCATCAATTTCATTTTCTCTTTAATTAATAATTTCTTTAAGTTTTTCTAACTCTTATTCATTAACAACTCTTTTTTTCATTATCTCCTATTATGTTCTCATTTCATCCATATCAATTTTAATTCTTTGGTATAGATTAGTCATTCGTGCCAATTCTTTTTATGCTTAATCTTTCTAAGCAATAGCATCAACTATTTATGTTTTTAATTCAAATTAGTCCATTTCTAATTAATGACATTTCTTTCTTGCTTTTTCAGTTTCCCTATTTTAATTATCCAATTCTCTTTATAAATATTTTAGTTCTTCATTTAATTCATTCATAGAAACCTAATAAAATTGTTTTAATTGTTAGGATTAATTATGCATTTCCATTTTATAATGGTTTTCCATATCTTACAATTATTTAACTTTGTCATTTTCACTAATAATGAACTTTTATTTCCATGAATCACTTTCATTTCTAATGACTCTAATTCTATCTTCAACTTCTCTATAAATTCGATCATCACTTTTTGCAGTATATGTTTCTTAGGATTAGGATTATGGGACTAAAAATTCAGCAACAGAAGTTTGCAATTTCATTTCTTTTTGTTAAGGCAAAGTTTAGATGTTTTAAAAGTTTTAAATTGTTTATTGTTGAATACGATTATTTGGTGATTAAAAGGTTCTATAAACGGTTTAACCTGATTTTGGAGCAACATTAGCTGGAGACATATTTTATCTGATGTTATTAACATGAACAATCTATTCATTTACAGGAACATGAACTGCTTCATATACTAGTGTTTTCAATATTGCTTTCTATTATTGAGCTTGAGATAAAAAAGAATCTTTGTTTGGTTAATATGCATTTGGAGAAATTGATCTCATTAATTATTTTATTATTAATTTTATTCTTAAAAAACCAATAAATTTATAATATCTAAATTCTTAACGTAAATTTTTTATTTCATTACTATTAGAATCTAGAAGCATCATAAGTGCAATATAAATTAATAAAATTTATAGGCTAATTATTTGAATAATATCTAATGATTTTTATTATACAACCGATAAGAAAGGATATCATTTGCTCTATATACTATGAGTTTAGAGGAAGATTTATCAGAATTAAGAAGAAAAAAATTGAAATTAACATAAATGTATTGAATACGAATAAAAATAATATGTTATAATAAAATTGTATCCATCATTCTTATTATTCTCTATAAATTGTTAGTTTATGATTAATGATTATTAAATTTTGAAAGGGAAGCAAATTCTGATTCCTCAACAAAAAGATCAAATAAGACTTTACAATATGGTAGTATTTTGAAGTTTATAATCGAACAAGAGTTTTCTTATATGTTCTAAATCTCCAAAGACTAATAAGATTTATTAATTTTGAATCAAAATTTATCAAGAAATAATTCTGGCAATTGAACTCAGTAAAATCATTAATATATTTTAGAATCCTTGAAACTCATGCATTTAATCTGGGCAGAAATAGTGTTTAAAGATCCCATCATTATACATTACTACTTTACCTTCAATGGTTAAGCAGAAAAATATCAAAGCTTAAAAAGATACTTAATTAACAACATCCTTATTAGATTTATTTATTTAACAACTTTCTAATTTTTTTCATAATATATTAAATTTAACAGAATTATTTAGGAATTTAAACTTTAATATACAATGCTCTAATCACCTAAAAATGCAATTTCAACTGCTAAATTTTAGTAGAAAGTGATGAACTTAGAAACAAACACCTCTTAATTTGATGCAACTTCAACAATTATTTAATCTATGTATTTACAAATAGACGAATTGATCGAAACAATTAAAAAAAGAAACCCAAAATAAATTAAACAACAGAAAACTGAAGAGAATAGCTTAACATATCAAAATTAATTAAATATGTTCAAGGCTGATGAAGAATCAACTAATTTATAATAGTATTATTTGGCTATTGAATCAGAAGAAATATCAAATGCCTTGTATGCTAAACCAAATGATGTTTTACTTTAACAAGCATAAATGAAAAAAACTATATAAGCACTTTAGATTAAGATAAATCAAACCAAATAAGTAAGTGTTGTTTTATTTATATAAGACTCTTAGTGTAACAGATAATGAGTATAGAGAACTTGAGAGCAAAGCATAAGCTATATAAGAAAAACAATAAAATTACGCATCAATCTTATTAAAACTTAAAGAAAAGTAATAATTAAATGATTCGGTTAATAAATTACTAGATTAAGTAGGTTAATAGTAATGGTTAAAGTTACGTTAATTATTTGATGTAGATATGATTAAGCTTAGTATTCCATTTGAAAAGTTGATTAAACTTTAATAATTATTATTGAAAGAATCAGAGAACTTGATATAAGTAGGAAAACATTAATGTATTTTGGAAGAGAAGAAATAATTTTTAATTGAGATTCAATTATAATCACCATTAATTAATTTAGTATTATCATTTGATTAGATATTGTTAAACATAATTCATCAACCAAAAGATTTGCTAATCTCGAAATAAGGATTATTAGTATAAACTGTAAAATGTCTTAATATTCTGCATTAAAACTTTTGCTGCATTATTCAAAATTTAACTAAGTTAAATTATTCATAAAAATATTTTGAGGAATCATAAAAGGAATTAATATAAGTAACTGCTTAAGCTAAAACATTTTCATTGAACAAGACTTAATTACTGATTGAAATTGATAAAATGAAGAAGTAACTAAAAGATTTATAATAATAATTATAAAATTCTTAAATGACAACAGATCGAAATATTGAAAATGAGGTTTAAAATCTTTTAACAATGTATTTAAAAGATAAAGAAATTTTGATGAGGGAAATCAAATTTAAATATGGTAAATAATATCATGATCATATGATTATGGATGTTAAATAAGAATTCAAAAAAATATGTTTAGGATAATAATTTGAATAGACAAAAAAGATTGAATAAGCTTATAATAGAATGGATGAAATCTAAAAACAAATCATAAAAAATAAAGATAAAATTATAGAATTATTAAAATAGTTGAAAGAACATAAGATTAATCTTCAATAAACTAAAACAGAAGAATCATAAATAGATAAAAAAGAATTTCTTTTACAATTATAAAATTTAAAAATTATTCTACTTTAACTTGAAAATAAAATTTAAAAAAAAACTCAACATAATTCTGAATAATTATTATAAGATCTTTAAGTAGAAATAAATAAATTAAAAGAATTTATTGATCAAAATTTTTTTGTTTAAAAATAGAGAAGTGATTCTATTGATACTATTAAGAAAACATAAAAGTTTGAGCATGCAAGATCATAATCATAAATACCCATAGTTTCTACTTTAGGATCTGAAATATCTGGTCCAATTTAAAGTCCAAAAAATATTTAATATCCAATTTAAAACCCTCAAGAGATATTTGATTCCTCTGATGATCCTATCTAAATTGTCAAAAAGCCTTTTTCAGAATGGAACAGTTATCAATTAAGTTTTAATTAGAATTAATTAAAATCAATATCTGGAATAAGTGGATAAGAATAATCATTTATCACATAAAAAGAAAGTAGTTTGCATGGTTCAATCTTAGAAGCTATGTCTAGCAATAGAAATAAAAAACCAGAGATTCATTTGATTGTATTTTTAAAATTGAATGAATGCAGTAAAACATATGATCCCACTAAAAATGAAGATCCATACAAATATGGTTATAGATTATATAGAATTGATAATCAATTTAATGTAATCAATTTAATTATGAAAGATTTTTAGTTCTGAAGAGAATGAGAATATGAATAGTTATTAAAAATTTGAGAGGAGACTTGATGTTAAATAGCTTATTTTGGTAATTATTAAATTTGATTTTAGGATGATTGTAGTTAAAATGCTTTGAAGTTTAGGATGATTTATGAACCTTCAATGAGAGGAATAGTTTAAGATAGTTTGGCTTTAAGACATTTAAATATGCAACATCTACCATTCAAATTATAAGGAAATTCTGTAATAGTTAATGGGTTATGCTTAAATGAGCAAGACTTAATTAAATTATAATTATTATTTAAGTAATGAATGTATTATTAAACTATTATTAAATTACGTGTTCAGATTATTATTTTTTTAATAACAATATATTAATATATATGGTACTTGCAGAACTAGGAAAATCAATAAATGCGGCACTTTAAAAACTTAATAAAGCCCCTGTTGTAGATGAAGCACTAGTAGACTAAATATTAGGTGAAATAGCAATGGCTTTATTAAAAGCAGATGTTAATGCGAAATTTATAAAAAAATTAAGAGAAGATGTTAAGATGGAATTCAAACTATGTTAAGAGGAGAATGTCAATCATTAAAAATTAATATAGAAATCAGTTGTAGATGGATTAACAAGAATGCTTGAGAGTGATAGAAAGCCATTTTAACCTAAAAAGGGTATTAATAAATAAAAATATTAATAGGAAAACAAAATGTTATTATGTTTGTTGGTTTATAAGGATCTGGTAAAACAACTACTTGTACTAAATATGCATATTATTATTAAAAGAAAGGCTGGAAAGTAGCTTTAGTTTGTGCTGATACATTCAGAGCAGGTGCTTTTGATTAATTAAAATAAAATGCCACTAAAGTGAGAGTTCCATTTTATGGGTAAAAATAATATCAAATGCTAGATCTTATACTGAAGCTGATCCTGTATAAATTGCATAAGAGGGTGTTAATGTGTTTAAGAAAGAAGCCTTTGAAATAATTATAGTAGATACATCAGGAAGACATAAATAAGAAAATGATTTGTTTGAAGAAATGAAATAAGTAGAAGCTGCAGTAAAACCAGATGATATAGTTTTTGTTATGGATTCATCAATTGGTTAAGCTTGTTATGATTAAGCCTTGGCATTTAAGAAAGCTGTTAATGTTGGATCTGTTATTATAACAAAGTTAGATGGACATGCAAAAGGTGGTGGTGCTTTGTCAGCAGTAGCAGCTACAGAATCTCCTATTGTATTCATAGGAGAAGGTGAGCATTTTGATGATTTGGAATCTTTTGAAGCTTCATCTTTTGTAAGAAGACTATTAGGATTAGGAGATATTAATAAATTATTTTAATCAGTTAAAGATGTTGTAAATATGAGAGATTAACCATAATTAATATAAAAATTAAAAGAGGGTAAATTTTCTATAAGAGATTTATAAACATAATTCAATTCTGTACTTAAATTAGGATCTTTAAATTAATTTATGTCTGCTATTCCAGGAATGGGAAGTTCAGTATTATCAAAAGGAAATGAAAAAGAATCTATTAAAAGAATTTAGAGGTTTTTATGTATAATGAATTCTATGACATAAGAAGAATTGGATGGTGAAGGTATATAATTATATTAATTAAGGCAATTTAAATTTTTGTCGAATTGTTAGAATTGCAAGAGGATCTGGTACATCTATAGAAGAAGTTCACATTTTATTAGATGAACATAAGAAATTGTCTAAAGTAGTTGGAAATTTAGCTAAAACTAATTTAGGAGGAAAAAGTAAAAGATATTAATAATTTTATAGGAGGAAATGAATTTGATCAACTTAAAAGAAATCCATAATAAATGATGTAAAAGATGAAAGGGGCTATTGATCCTAGTATGCTCTAAAAGTTAGGAGGAATGGACAATGTTATGAATATGATGAAATAAATGGGTTAAATGGATGGAATTTAAGATTTGATGAAATAAATGGGAGGAATGGGAGGAGCTCCAGGTAAAGGAAAAAGAAGATGATTTAAGATTATTAACAATTGTTATTATTTTATTATTATTATCATAATTCAATTATTATTGATTTCATTTAAAGTTTTCAAGAAAATTAATTCTTAACGTTAGATTGTTATTATTCAATTAAAATTGTTCTATTAATATTTAACAATCAAGTGTTTAGAGAGCTATTATAATGTAATATATCGAATATTGACATTAATTATGAGATTGAGAAATATTTTTAATGAAATGAAAATTAGCAAAAAATAATAATATAAAAAAAATAAATGATACAAATTTAAAAGATTAACTATAAAAAAAATATTGCAAAATATATATCTTATAATAACAAATATATTGTTATTAATATACAAACTAAATAGTCAATGATTTTTTTGATGTAATTTTTCTTTAAGGTTTTATAACAACATTGTGTTCCTTTATTAAAGCTCTTCATGTTCTTTTTATAATGCTGAATATTGATTTTTTAAAGTTTTTAACTCTTATTATTATTGTTTCAAATCTTATCTGTAATCTATTTATGGTAATTAATCTAATTCATGCATTAATCTTTTTATTTCAAATTCTGATTATTTTATTTATTCAATTGCATCAATTTAATTTATTTCAATACAATCCTTATATTTTTTTTTTAATTCTTCTAATTTTAATAATTTTTCGTATGAATGTTTTAATTTACGAATTTCGATTTCAGGAATTTCATCTTCATTATCCTCTATATAATCTGTTTGAGTTGAAGTTGACACATAAAAAATTTATTATGATTGTAAATTATTTGGGGGAATTTCCAATAATTTGTGCTCTTCAATTTTCTATGAAATTTGATATTTATATAAATCTATATTTTATAAATTTATATCTATTTAGTTATTACATTTTATTTGTTACTTTTAATTTTTAAGTTTTTTTTTATTTCTTTCTTGATTGTATTTTTATAGTTATTTCTAGTAATTTAATATTGTTATTAAATTCATTTATTAAATTTAATAAATAATTTAATTAAAAATAATCAAGTAATTATTTTTTTAATTCTTATATAAATGTTTCTTCATAGAAAATTGATTATTATATATAAGTCGAAAAAACTAAAAATTTCAATTTTTAATATAAATTTAGTTATTTTTGGTTAAAAAAGAAGAGGATTTAGCAAAAAATAAAATAAAAATCATTTGATTCAATAAAGTGATTTATTTGAAATGATGCTATCTATTTCCTCACATTCATACATTTATTACTTTTACAATTTTTCTTATTCTTATTATATTAATGAGATCACCTATTTACTCTAAATACTTTAATTTGTGCTGGCAAAACTAAGCTAAGTTTTTCGTTTCTCAAATAATGTATTAATTTTTATTGAAACCTATGAACTTTTGATTATTGTGTCTGGTGTATTATCTGAAAAATCCCTTTCAATTTCTAATTAAGTTAAAGCTCTTCGTTTGCATTAATTTCTTAAGTTCGAAAAGAATCGATCTTGTTTAGCTTTTGGATCAGTTTTCATTTTGATGTTCAAAGAACTCAAATAATCGACTATTGATAACTCAATTTGGAGATTTTTTTTTTTAAATTCATTATTTTCTTGATATTCTCTGATGTTCAATTCTAGTGATCTTCCTGAATAACCTCCATAATAATCTTCTTATGGATCTACATTGATGCTTGAATATGATATTTGAGAAAGATTAAGCTCTTTTAAATTAACTGGCTATTATTATTATTCGAGTTCCATACAAATATATTTTATTAATTTTTTGATGTCAAAAATATCTGAATTATCCATCAAGACAATACTAACACTTAATTATAGAATTCTAATAAAACTTAAATTACATCATAATAATGGAAATTCATTTATTCATACTTCATTTAAATATTATATTCACAAAATTAAGTAATAATACTGTAGTTCTATTATAAAATGTAAAAGGCTTTCAAAAAAAGAGTAACATCAAAAAAAAGCTAATGTTATTAATAAATAAGGTTGAAATTTTTCAACTCCAATTCGAACATTATTTATTTTTTAAATATCATTCCTCTTAGACAATTAATGAGTAATAGCATTTTTAAAGAATGCTTTTGAATATGAATTAGTTTTGTCTTCTTCTTGTTTCTATGAAAAGTCTCATTAAACAAATGAAATTGAACTGAATTTTTTATTTATTTTAAAAAACTGAAAAATAATTATCATAAGTGATTTTATACATATTAGCAATCTAACATCATAAAGTATTAATCAAGAAATCTATTTATATTTATTAATTTCAGGAGCAAATAAAAGCATATCTGAAATTAAAATTAATTATTCATCTGATGCAATCATATTCTGTCAAAGAGCCAAAATTTAAAAGTATTTTTAAATTGGATAATTAATAACAATTCAAATAATTATTAAAAATCAGCCTTATAAATATATTAAAAGATTAGCTAATGATCAATTTGCTATAAATTTTGATGAGAATTTTATACTTAATTATAAATTTATTTTTGAAAATTATTAAAATCAATAATTTAATGATTACATTCTCATAATTTATGAACTTATATGACAAAAAATATTCGCCTAAATATACTTCATATGATTCTTATGCCAACCACAATTATTTTCAATTTAATCTAATCTTTTAACTTATATTATTCTAAATTTACGAATATATTATTGAAGAACATATAATCGGAATGAAAAACTTATTTTAATTCAAACCAATACTTATGATTTAAAATTTCTTAAATTAAGATTCTTTCTAATTGATAAAACAAAAATGTTATTTAAAATCTTTTTTGTAATATTAAATGTTATTAAATCAATCGTCGTCTTGATAAAGTTTTATTTTGATTATCACTTCAATTTTTGCTATATTATGGCCTAGTTTAAACCTTGAAAAAAAAATTAAATAAAAAGTATTAAATTTATTTTATTTTTTTTTTAATTTAAACTTTAAGTCTACTTAAAAAGTAATTATTTTGTTATAATAGACCAAATTTCATATAAAAACCAATTAAATTTTGAATAATTAAGATTAAAAATTGAATTTATCAATCATTTTATATATTATATATAATTTTGCATAAAAATAATCTATTCTCTAATATTTGACTCAATTTTTGATTTCATTTTATATTTCCCCAAAATATTTAATTATAGTATCTTTTCTATATTCAGAATTTTGATATAAAAGAAATACCTAATTTAATATGAATTGAAACGTTCAGATATTTATTAAATGTTCTAAATAATTGATTTATATTAATTCATGCCTTTAATTTAGTCTTTATACAGGCTATGTAATTTCGATTTACATTTAGAATTGAGATTTAATATTTTTTGATGATATTAGATGGTATTAACATATTATAGAAAATGAAAAAATAAGATTAAGAAAGACAACATGAGAGAATTGATGGAAACTGAAGGTGTATTTATAACTGATTGAATCATAACCTTAGTTAGAATATAATATTTTTTCGTATTATTTATAATACTATATAAGAGTTGAGTATATAAGTAATTAAATTTAAAAAAATAAATTGAAGTATTTAAAGTGTTTAAAATAATGCAAGAATTTGTCGAATTAATTTAGGCAGCATTTTTCGCAAAAGAAAATAATTAACGTAGTTAAGCAGAGTAGTAGCTTGTAAATTTGAAGCATCAATTACCAAATGACTTTTTTTAAAAGTGCAGCTCTGCATTTATATCTCCTTAATTGGATTCCCAAACTAGAGTAGCAGCAGGGACTTTACTATAAAGATGTATCAGTTATGAGTAAGGATGGCTTACAATCGGGTTAGATGTAAAGCGTAAAATCAAAGATGAGTTGCTTTCCCAACTAATTTCTAGTGATTAAAATATAAAAAAGTCAGCAGCAAGCGTAATAATTACATATTAATTATATAGTGTTTATCAGGAATATGTGCAATAGAATTACCAAGATAAGAGTGGCCTGAAATCATTAGCATATTAGTATCAAATACTAGACATGAATCAATAGAAGTAAAAAAAGCGGCAACTATAACTCTTGGTTATATTTGTGAGGCTTTGAAAAATCAAAAGTAATCAATAGAGAAGACAGAGAGTGAAAAAGTGTTGTATGGAATATGTATGGGATTACAGGGAGAGAAATAAATCAAATTGATTTCAATCAGAGCATTGAAGGATAGTTTATAATTTATGGATCAAGTATTGGCACAATAATAAGTCAGGGATCATGTGACTAAGTTGTTGGTTGAATCAGCAATATCATAAGATGCTGAAATAAGATTGGCATCATTAGAATGCTTAATAGACTACACCAAAGCAATTTTCGATTATTTAGGTAATAATTCTAATATATAAATTTTAGAATAATATATTTTGGGTTTATGGAATTGTACATAGGAAAGTATTTTCCATAAGGATTTTGCAATTGTGGCTATAGAAATATGGTAGAGTATTGCATCTGAAATAAATGAGAGATCTGCTGTAAGTAATAGAACTAATTTGGGATTCAGAAAAACCTAAAAAGAGGCTTTACAATTAATATCTTAATAATTAATCTAAGCTGTTCTTTAAAACTTGCTAATCTCTGATGAGGATGAAGAGGATGATGAAGAATAAGGAATTTAAGAGGCAGCATATAAGGCAGCATCTTCAATTAGTGAAGCATTAGGAAATTTATGTTATTAATTGTATCTAAGATTTATTGAAAGTAATTGAATTATTGATTATATATTTTAGATACACTTTAAGCACAAGAATGGTAAAATAGAAAGGCTTCATTATTAGCATTTTCTTCAATGGTTGAGACAGCTGATGTTTTAGAATTATTCTAATATTCTAATTCAGCTATTGGTGAATTTATAAAAAAATTAGCTGATCCTCATAAATAGGTTAGATATGCTGCTGGTAGAGTAATAACAAGAATTGCTGAAAATTATCCATTAGTTATTTTGAAGCATTAATTTGCTGATGAATACATTAATTAATTTTCATAATTTTTATAAGGAAATACTAAATTGACAAAATATTTATTATGGACTCTTGTTAATATCACAGAAGCTTTTAGAGATGATCCTATAAATTAATTTGGCAAATATTATGATTTTTTAATTTCTTAATTTGCTACAATAATTGGAAGATAAGATTTTTAGAATGGAACTCTATTAGATATAGCTTGGGTTGGTATCATTAATTGCTTGTAATGTGTTAAAGAACCTTAAAAAATAAAGACATATTTAGAAGCATTTGGTTAATAAATGGTTGCTGTCTATTCATAGAGTGGATGGTAAAAAGAGGCTAATATTTCTGGATTATTATCAGCAATTCATATATGCTTTTTAAGATTAGTAGTATTAGGAGATTAGTGTGATATCTAATTGATGAATAATTTCTATTCACTTATTGTTGATTACTTTAAAAAAATCTAGACTGTTACATAAGATGGTTTTTATGCAATTAGTGCTATTGCTCAATGTAAATAAATCTTAAATATATTATATAGATAGCAAAATTAATTTTAAATCACTATTAGATGATTTTATGTAAAATTATTTGGAAATTGGATTATAAAAGAAACTAGAAATTGAAACATTTAAAGGAGCCATTTTATGTTTGGCTGATATTGCTAGATCCCTTCAATTTAAAGAGTTCAGCAAATATTTAAGTATTTTATAATATCTAATTACTTGTGTTAATGTAATTGATTATATATAATTCAAAAGGATTCATAAGTAAATAGAGTAGCCAAGATTGCTTTGTTTGTTTGTATAGCTGATATAGTTCTGATAGCAGAATAAGATGCTGAACCCTACTTTTAAGCCATTTGGCAATTAGTAAATAGTGGATTCAGAGCTTCAATCTACTTTACTTAGAATAAAGAAATGACACAATTAGAATATTATGAAAGTCTTAATGATGCCTTATTAAATTGTTATTTATGCATGTTACATGCATTCAACTTAAATAAGGTACCCTACATTCCACTCTATTAAACAATATCTGAATTGTGTATGTTTATTTAAGCTACATCTGAAAAGTCATTGACACCTACTGTGGTATTAATTATTATTAAATAATTATAGGAATATATTCGTCTTTGTGTTACTTGTCTCCTCGATTGTGTGGCCTATTATAAGTAAGCTAAGGGACAAGATAATATGTCTTAAAAAATACTCACCAGTCCTCTTCTCATCAGCTTATTAGATATGTTAAAATAATATTCAAACTAATAAGAAAATCAATAATTAATTATGTATGCTAATGATTTATGCAAATCATTCCAATTGCCTTAAAATTTGAATTGAGATCATCATTATATATTATTATGTTTAATTGAGATGTGGTGTATTTATTCTGACAGAGTAGAATGCTCTATAAATCTATAATATAATATATAAGTTCATTAGTATTCATTGGTAATTTTTAAATATTTTTCAAAAAAATACATAATGAAAGGAGGTAAATAATAAAAGAACAAATCAATCTGGGATTAAGTCAGAAATGAAGAAAAAGACTTCTATTTTAACTTTTTGGCTAAAAAATACAGAAATCTCTAAAAGAAACTCAAGGATATAGCAGACCTTGAAGAATTACAAAAAACTAAAGAATTGAAACAAGAATAGATCTAGAAGATACAAAACAAAGAAGAAAATAATGAAAGAATAAAAGAATTAGAAGGCCAACTCTCGAATTGGCTAAATGCTAAGAAAGAAGCCGAACAATAAGGATCTATAATCACTATTGAAGCATACATTATAATTCTTCAAAATCTCGCCTAAGATCCCTAATTAGTTGCTCTGTTAGCTTAAGACCATGAATCCACCCATGAATTAGCTAAAAAATTGTAATCTAAAATAGTTGGATAATCAGCCAAAACAGATTAACCATGGAAAGGATTGAAAGTATTTGAATTATAATTTATATTTAGTTTGAAATTCAAACATAGGAATAACATCAAGAAACTAAACAAATCTAAGAAGTAACTGAAACAGAACCTATTTAATAATAAGTCCAATAAGTAATTTAACAATAAGAATAACCTATCTAATCAAAATAAACACCATCAGAAGAAGTATAACTTTAATAGAAATAACATGAATAACCAGAAATCTAAGAAACTTAAGAACAATAATAATTCAGTGAATAACAACCATAAAATGAACAACCCTAAGAAGATATTTAAAATTAAGTCTAATAACCCAATTAAGATGAATAACCATAAACAAAAGAGGGTTAAAGACATCATTAACATCGTGATGATAGAAGAAATTACAAAAAAAATTACAATAATAATAATTATGATAGAAGAAACAATTATGATAGACCATACAGAGGAAACAAATAATATTATCAAAATAGAGATAGAAATTATCAATAAGAATAAATCTGGGAAGAAAAAGTTGATAGATAGGCTCCTTAAAATTAAGAAGAGTAATAATAAGAAGAGGATGATTACATTACTGTTAGAAGCAAGTATCATTTACCTTTATCTAATCTAGAAAACCATAAAAACCATAGAGAGGAGGATAAAGGAATTATGAAAATAGAAATAATAATAGAAACTATGAGGGCAATCAATCAAGAGGATAAAGAAACAATGAATAAGTTGATAAATGAGAGTATTTAAAAAATATATATATATATATATATTTATATATCTTTGTTATATTTACAGTAATTATCTTTAGTTAATAAATAAAAGATAGTATTGTAAACAAATCTATAGTAGTTAATTTCTAAATCTAATTAATCAATTATTAACTTTTCAAATCTTTCTTTAAAGTTAAAAGCATTCTATCTTTATATAATAAACTTATGATTAATTTAAAAGTAAGTAATCTTTAAATAATAAATAATTATGTATAAATTATTTATTGAAAACAATTGTAAAATCCTTAATCTTATCTCAAATTTATAGTTAATACTTATTATTAATAGTTATTCAAATCATTTCTAGTATCTTATACATTAAGTAATTAAACATAAGTTGGTTTATTATATTTTTATTCAACATTATTATGATAGTTGATAGTTCTTATTTTTATTTATATCTTTTTATTTTTTTTAAGATTATTAGAAAGAGAGATCAAAATTGAAAGCATCTATTAACAAATATATAAAAATCATTTTAATAATTAATTTCAGTCATAAATTTATAATTGATATTGTTATTTTGATAATCAAATTCCCTTTAAAATAAAGAATAATTTAAGAAATGACATTTAATTAAATTTATTATTAATTTTTGTATTAGATTAATATTGAGAAATTATAGAAAAATTAAAATTTTATTAACTTAAAACTATTAACCTATTAAGAAATTCAATCTCTTTTTTTCTTGAGGTACTCCTCCCTTTCTTATTACTCAAATGATTTTCTATATAATTCTAACTTTACTCTTTTAACTTCTGATTTATCCTTTTTCTCGAGTTTATTACCAAAAATGCATAAGGATGTCAAAACTACTATAAATGCTACAACAACATAAACAGGAACCTCAATGATAATGTAAGTTGATTACCATTTTTAACGAGAATATTCTTCTTAACCATTTTTGAAATGATCAATTTCTTTTGGAGTGTCATAAGGTTCTAGATGTAGATATTTCTTTTCATCTTCAAATTGAGTAAAATTACCAATATTAGTAGATTCTATTGATTAAATTAGGTTTTACCATTATAAAATACGTCTTATTATCAGTATCAAAAAATACAAAGGTTGGATATTTAGTTATACCAATCCTATCACCAATAAGTTCTTAATTATATCTTTGTTAATGTTTATTGATACGTATCTATTGCACCAATATTTATTGTACCATTGTAAGTTGTTATAATTTCTTCCAAAATTTTAACTATTCTATGACAACCCTTACACCATGGAGCCAAAAAGAATATAAACCATGGTTTTTCTAATCCTTCATTGCCTAAATGTGTAATTGCATCCTAATTATTGCCATTTAACATTATAACAGGTGTCTATTTTGGGAATTCTAAATCTGGCATTTCTTAAGAGGTACATAAACTAAAATCACAAAAAGAAGCTTAAATTTCATTATTTTATTTTATTATTTCTAAATAATATATTTCATTCTCTTGTTGCAACAAAATAATTATTTGCTTATTCTTTGGCATTGTTAGTCCAAGCAATCTATCAATAATTTATTATGAATTTCTTACTTCAGCTAATAATACAGTGCCAGCTAAAGCTATACAGATTGGGGCAGCATATGTGACTCTCTTAGGTGTATATACTGGAGCATAATGTTCAATGTATGATAATCTTGGTGCCTTAGTATAAATCAAATGGCTGAATCATATAAATTTTTATATACTCAAGATATTAAACTGATCTTCCAATAAATGTTTTGTTTGTAAAGTTTGTGAATGACAAACCAGTTGCTGTCACTGCAGAGCAAATCGATTTGTAGAGTTTGAATGAATTTGGATTCATTATTATTAGATATATATATATAAAATTAATTAATAAATTATTCTTTAATTCTAAAGGTCATTCAATTGAGTAGATTAGAATTTATAGGTTGGTAATTTTGAATTTTGGTTTGCATTAAATATGGCAATTACTTATTTAATTGAATAACCATAATTTTATTTCATAAATTAGTAAAAAAAATTTGAAAATAAATGGAATATAAACGTTTGCTTGATATTTGTGAATAATTACTTAAACATTCAGGTAGTATTTCTTATGATAATGATTGATAGCATTACCTTTGGATATGTTAGAAAAATATTATTTACTTAAAGAAAAGACATTGTCTAATGTTATAGTTAATCCTTAAGCAAATTAAAATGCTTTGGTTGTTAAGATCATTCAATTATTTGCTTAATGTTTTAATTAGATGCTTACACAAAGAGATATTAATATAACTAATACAGAAACAACAATCAACCATTTATTAGTAAGATTATACTTAATTTTAATAAAGGATACTTACAATGCGAATGATTTAAGATCTGAATTTTCTACAACATTCCAAGTATATATAGCATATTTGAATTCATAGTTATTATTATAAATAAATAGTGATAGAAAGGAATTGGATGCCACAGTCACATTTTTATAAAATGAGATAAGGAAAATTAAATTAGAGTTGAATATGTCAAATTCTAGATTAGATCAATAAAAGAAATTGACAAATTCAGAGGATAAAGAGAAAAGTTTAAAAGTATAAAGAAATTTAAATTCTATAGTTATAGAGATAAATAGATGAGTTAAAGGATGAATTATAAACAAAAATAGAAGAACATGAAGAATAAGTTCATTAATTATAATTTAAATATGATGAATAAATAAAAGCATTAATGAAAAAGAATAAGGATACATTTTAATCAGAATCTAAATATTAATAATTAGAAAAAGAATAGAAATAATATGAAGAATTTTTTGATAAATTTGCTGAAATGTCTTTACCATATTTAGAAAAATATGAAAGAGATTTTGAAAAATAATAAGCTAAATCTAAAAAATATTCAGAATAAAATATTAGTGAAAATGAAATACTCTTAGATTTTCTGTTCTATTTACTCTAGAAATATGTTCCATTATAAGAAGATATGAGGGAAGTTAGAAAAAGTAGTGCTAAAAAAAGTAATCAAGCAAGTCCAAAGGTATCAAGAGAGAGCAATAAAGGAGAATCATCTGCAACAAGAGATTTACATTTTGAATAATACAAGGTTTAAAATAATAATCAGATTGATGATACAGTTAATAAATTAAAATAAGAGTTGGAATAATCAAGAAAAACACTTGAGAAATATGAATTAAGTCGAAATAAATTATAGGTAATATTAATAAATAATAAATTAGAATTAAATATCGTGATTTATTTAATATATATATATATAATTTTAATAAATATCTTTCAATGTCTTTGCCATAAGGAATTCCAATGAATGCTGTTTATAAACAAGTTGTTATGGAGCATAAGGAAGATGATAGAGTTGAGCAATTAGAAGCACAAATATATAACATGGAAAAAGATCATAGTATGTGGAGAAAGAAGTATTTTGAACTTGAATCATTATATGATAAGTGTAGATATGCTGCTGAAAAAGTAAATATTTTTTTATTAAATTAAGTCAGTCTAATTAGAAGATAGAATCAATCTATTAAGATAAGACAATTCATAAATATCAGGTTTGCTTAGAGAAAAAGCTACAGAATGTGAAAAAATGAGAGTGAGATTGACATAATTAGAAAATGAGAATTTTGAATTAAATACAATCAGATTATAAGTAACTAAATTTAATGATCTTTTATCATAAAAGACATAAGATATTGAGTAATTAAGAAAGAAAAATTCAGAAATTTATGCTAGAGTAATTGAATTAGAAGGAAATGAATTAGTTATTAGAGATTATAAGGCTTAAGTAAATAGTTTGACAAAGGATTTAGATGTTTGGAAAAAATTATATGAGGATTAATAATAAGAAAGAGTCAAACTATTAGAAATTATTAGATAATTTGAATTAAACAATCCTTTATCAGGATCAGTCAAATCATCTTAATAATAAAATAGTGAAGTAATTGAAAGAAGAGTTGTCACTACTTCAGAAACGACTAATAATACTCTTTAATTATAATCATCACTTTTATAAAATTAAGCAACTATTTCTGATTTGGAGGATAGACTTGGATTCTAAGAAAAGTAATATGATAAATTGAAGCAAGAATTAGAAGGCAGAATTAAAATTAATAATGAACTTAAATTAAAGTAATATATTATTTTATTTATAGAATAACTTAATAAGAATGTGAATTGAAGAATATAAATTATTTGAAATTAGATAATTAAAAATTAAAGGATTAATTAGATTAAACTAAAAGAGAACTTGATTAATTTAGAAAATAATATTATACAACTTTAAGTAAATTATAAATTGCTGAATAATAACTTAATGAATTATATAATTTGGAAAATAGACTTTAATTATTATAATAAGAAAGAGACACCTTAAATAAATCATTAAAATAAAAAAATGAAGATATTGGATAATTGTAAGACAAAGTTTCATCATTATTATCTTAATTAGAATAATTGAGACTTAATGATTAAGCAAGAAATGCTGCAGAAAATGAAGTTATTTAACTCAAATCTGAATTAAACAAACTCTAAAGTAATCTTAAATAAAAAGAATAAACTATCACAGATTTACATGGAAAAATAAATGACTTATAAAAATAATTAACTAATGCATAATCTGATTTTAAGAGATTGTAAGCTAAGGATTATTCAGGATTATAAGATTAAGCAAAATTAGTTAATGAATTATAATAGAAATTACTTTAATTGAGTCAAGATAACTCAAAATTCTAAAGTTAAGCTTTTAATTTAGAATCCAAAAATAATTCATAAGTTTAAGATATTTAAAGATTGAATTCATTATTATAGACTAAAACATAAGAACTTTAAGATGCAAATAAGAAAATTAATGATTTAGAAAATGATAAGACAATTCCTGATCTTAAGTTTTAGAACTCTTAATTAATTGCTGAATTGAGAGAATAAGAAACTGAAAACTAAGGTTTATAAGAAAAATTACAAATTTTAGAAAATTAAATAATTCAATTAAATACTAAATTGACTACAGCTGAAGCTTAAGCTAATTGTAATTTGAATGAGAAAAATAAGGTTGATTAATTGTTGTCTTCTTATTTGCTTCAATTATCATAATTAGAAAAAGAGTAATATATTAATTTAATATTTTTAGAGTAGATGAACTAAGAGTCATAGCCCAATAAGTATCATAATAGAGTGCCATAAATAAATAATAAGAATAACACATCTAAGCATTATAGAAACAATTAAAAGAATATAGTAGCTAATTCAATGAAGTAAGTAAAGAAAATGAGAAATTATATGTTGATAATTCTCAACTCTCTACTCGTATTTCTTAATTAAGTGAATTGCCAAATAAGATATAAATATTAGATGAGGGAATATAAAAACTTTAATAAGATTATAATAATGAATTGTAAGCTAATGAAACATTAAATAAATAATTGAATGATGCTTTAAAAGTAAAGAATGATTTAGAAAATAAAATAGCCATGTTATCAACAGAAGTTGAAAGATTTTAATATAAATTAAATAGTAGATAAAATGAGGCTGAATAATTAAAAAAATAAATAGTTGAATTGGAAACTCAAATTGCTTAATTGAAATAATTGGAATCAGATAATTAAGTTTTGGCAGATAAAATTGCTCATCTTGAACAACAATTAATTAATGAAGCAAATAAGAATTTAGAACATCTTTTAAGAGTTAGTTAAGATGAAACTAAATCATATATATTAGATAATAATAATCTCAAATAACAATTAGATTAAAAAGAATAAGAAAATAAATAAAAGGATGAATCTTATAGATAATTAGAATAAAAATATTAATAACTTTAAAGTTCAAATAAGAATTTAGAAGCATAGAATACTTAAATTGCTGAATTATAAAATGTTATAGCTGGATAAGAAAGTGATATTCAAAAATTCTAAGATCTTATAGAAGAATTAAGAGATAAAAATAATGATTTAGTAGCAGAGTAAATTATTTATATAATTATTATTTAGATCTTAAAAATTATAAATTGAATTAACTTAATAATAAGTATAGATTTCAGATTTGAAAAATCAAATTGAAAAACTAAATACTCAAGTGAATAACAATTAAAATTATGATTAATTAATAGAAGAATTGAAGAGAAAAATAGAGAAATTGTAAGAAGAAAAAGTAATATTTAATTATATTATATTATAGTACTAATTAGAAAATAAAGTGGCCTTATTGTCAAGTGAAATAGAGAGAATGAGAGTTAAATATGATGCTTAAGGAAATAAATTAAATACTTCAGAAGAGTAAAGATAAGGTGTAACTAAGGAATTAGAATAAGTACATAAATTATTTGAAGAATCATAAGATGTATATATATTATTTAAATAAAAATAGGAAATTGATAAATTATAGGAATAATTGTCAAAACAAAAAGAATTAGAATAAAAAGAATAAGCTTTAAGTTTAACTTTAGTAAATGCATTTAATGAAATTGATGCTTTGAGATCATAATTATAGAAGGTTTCAAATGAAGCTAATGAATAAAAGAAGGCCAATATTGTATTGGCTACATAATAATAATGAGTATTATAAAAATAAATATTAATAATTAAAAATGCTCTAAAAAGCTACAATCAGATTTTATTTATCACAAGCAAGTAATATAGAATTATAAAATTAAGGAAAAATTCCAACAATTTGGGATGTGAATCCATTAGCTTACTAAAGAATGTCTAATGCTTTATTAGGAGCATACTCAAATAGATAATTTGGAGTTTTAATAAGAGAAAATCTTGATATGATAACTGATCATCAAGTAGCATATGCATTTTAAAGGTATAATGTTATTATTTAATATTTATATAGAATAAATGAATTGAATTTAGATGCTGATGAAGATTTCTATGAATATGTTTTACCAGCATTAAAGGAATTTGTTCCAAATTTAACAAAAGATCATCCAGTCTCAATTGCAACTATTATAGGAACTTGTGGTAAAATAAATGTGAAAGATGCTTCCCTTTGGTAATTATTTGAAAAAAAAATTGTGGCTGATCGTTTATATAGGTATTGTTAGATTAGATATAATAAAGATATATTCCTTTGAATGACTTAGTAAGTATGACATAATAAGTTGCATTAAGTGATTATGGATCTGAAGGATTTTTTAATACAATGGAAAAATAAATTGGTAGACATAGATTGGCATTGAGTGATGAATAAATTAAATTGACTCAAGAAGCTTTTGAAAGAAAAAGATTAGCAGCTCCAATCATTAAGCAATTAAAATAATCAGCTTAAAAACAATTAGCTTGATTTATTAAATAAAAAATAAAATATTATATAGTACAAATTAATGTTCAATATTTAAGATGGTTTTTTAACTTTTCTTCTAACCAATTATAAAATTCTATATGTTCTAAATAAACAGGATAAAAAGGAGATTTTTCAAATGTTTTTGCAAAATTTACTATTTTTTATATTAAAATATGAGCAAACTAATAATTATAATAAAAATTAATTTTACTTTTCTTCCAATATAAGCTAAAACACTATTAGGTACCATTGAAATTTTAGGATTTACATTTGTGCAAGCTCTAATGGAACATGAATCCTTATCTATAGGTGTAATTTCAAATATATAATATTTGATATACATTCTAATAAATTTAGATTTCTCTGGAATAAAGATTCCATTCTTTTCTAAAAATTCTTTATCACTATCCACTGATCTCGATAATAATGTTATTGTTCCATTAACTGATAATCTATCATAACCTTCTCCAACAAAAACACATTCTCTATCTGGAATCAAAGGAAAATACATTTCTGATGTACAAACTTTACAAGCTCTATTCAAAACTTTATTAACATAAGTTCTTTTACAAAAAGGAACCCATAAATAATTTAAATCCATTTCATTTACTAAAGCCAATACTCTTATTGCATTAACTGGTATCTTTGTTTCCATAAGCATAGATGCAGTAGAAGTATTTTCTGGGAATTTATACTTAACAGAAATTCCATTACTCTAACCATCAAATATCCAACCATCTGAATCTAATTCTTTAACATTATCTATCAAATAATTATATTACACAATTATTTAATCTACATACTCAGCATGTTATTGATAATTAATATCTGATTTAAATTTATCTTAAGCTAATTTTGCATATTCATAAGCCTAAAATAATATAAAAATTTACTTAATCAATTTTTGTTTAATCAAATTCATATTTACTTCTATTTATTAATTCTGATAATTCATCTTATGCTATTTCAATATACTTTTTAGAAGGTGGAGATTAAATTAAGGATTATTCTTCTTTTGATTATTGTGAATAATTATTATTATTATCATAAAATTATATCTATTATTCCTAACAAATATCAACATTTAAAGTAAGCATCTTATTTTCAGTATGTTGTTATTATTATTGTTATTCAGCCCTTTATGTAATATATGCTCTACCAATTCTTGATGCTTTATAATTGATACTTAAACTTCTAACCTCTTAAATTTAATTAGCTAAATATTATGAAATGTGTTAATTACTTTCTTCATCAGCAATTCTATACATAAATTCTTAGACTTCCATATTATTCATCATAATGTTCATTAAATTCTTAATTTCTATTTTTTCTTCAATTGACCTATTTGTCTACTCTAATAAACTTGTTAATATTAAATTGATTTCATAATATATATTAAGCTTCTAATTATCATTTAATGAGCTTGATATTAATTCTGAAAACTAAATTGGATTTGTTCAAAAATTCTTACAATTATTTTTAGATTTTCAAGCTCTTCATTAATATTCTCAAGTTTGATTACCTATTGAAGCATCTCATGAAAGTTAACATTTTTTTACATTAATATATATTAATTTAATATTTGTATATATGAATAAGTTTAATTTTTATGTATGCTACTCGTAACACTCAAAAATCATAAAATGATCGATGAGCTGACTCTGAGCAATTGATTTCTGCTAATTAGACCCATAAATAAGTTATCTAAACTCATTAACCTAAAACTAATCAGCTTTTTATTGTGTATTAACTTAATGTTCACAAATTAATTCAATTATTTTTAATATTATTTTAATATTATAATCTTTTCAATTTAAATACCCATATATTAATAATAATCATAAAATAAATTTATTTAACCCTTTAAATATTATCTCTTAATAATTTATTGAATTATTATACATTCTATTTTGATTTTATAGATATTATTTATTTTTATATAATAATAATATGGAGATCATCTCAAAAAATATAAATTTATAATCATATTGTTATTTTATTATACATATCTCTACTTTTGTTTAATTTATTAACTGTCAAAATACTTTAAAATTAATCTACTAATTCTTGAAGTGCCACTTTCTTATTTTCTTGTAATTCTTTCATTAAAGTATCAATTAAATGTTCTGATACTTTTGGTCTGTCTTTTAATTTTAGTTAAGGCAACTTATCCTTTGCATCAAATTAATCTTTATAACTTTCTATTGATTTTTCTATCTTCTTTTATATATCTTTATTATTTTAATCATTATTTAATTTATTCAATAACATTAACATTTCTTCCCATTGATTTTTCTCTTCCCCTTATATACGAGATGAAAGTTGTGACTATCTTACTTTCTTATTCAAACTATCCTCAAATAACCTTTTAAATACAGGATTTATTATTTATTTTGGAGGACTCTTTGAAATTTATCTTAAAAGTATAGAATTTTCATTAGCCAAATGATAGGAAGTTGAAGCCCCTCTTTTTCTTTAGATTCCAGGAGATGGAAGATAACGAATTTAATCATTTTTAATGACATTTAATGGTAATTTAAATTCTGTTTGTGTAAATTTATTTTGAAGCTATGAATTTTCTGTTTTTTCAATTTATTTCATTTCCAATTTTTCAAATGTTATCTAAGGTATTTTTAATTATTAAATATTTTAGAATATTGCATTTTCTCCTCTGCAAATAGTACATAACTAATATTCAAATGAGTTTTCTGTCTATGTTAATTAACAAATTTATTAGAATTTATACATTTTAATTGCTTAATTATTTTCAAATTCTAATTATTCTAAACTTTCAGCAACTAATCTTGTTTTATTAATAATATTATTTTGATCACTGAATTCTCGAATTTTCAAAAGTGAATTTTCTGTATTAATTAATCTTGTATTTATTTATGATTTTTCTAATTAAAGTTTTTACAGTGATTATTTTAATCTAATTATTTCTTCATCTTATAATCTTTAAGCCTTTGTTAAATTTTATGATTCCTATATCAATTATTAATGTAGAATTCTTAATGATGCTACTTTAGATTTTAAGATTTCATTTATTTTAATCAAATAATCAAATTATTAATTAACCTAATTAGTGTATTGTTCTAAATTAAATATCAAATTTCTAAAATATCCTTTATAATTATATTATTAAATTTCTTAATCAGAATTTGATTTAAATAATTTAATGACTTAATTTATATAAGACCATTATCTTAAAGCTTGTCTAGCTCCTCTTTAATTACAATTACACTCTATTTCTGGATCCTCCTTAATTATTAGACAAATAGGTTCTGAAATTGTATTAAGTTCTATGGGACCTAATTTATTCATTTCCTATTTTAATGTCTAATAATGCAATTCTTATTATTATCTTAAGTGAGTTTTAAATTAATTATATTCTCTTTCAAATGATTTTGAACACATCATCATTTTATCAATATAAGAATAGTTTATTCCATATTCAGGTTTTTGATTCTCAAATACTTCAAAAAAATAATAACCTCCCTTTAAATCTTGTATAATTTTCCATAATTCATAAGGACTCATTTAATCAAGATAATCTTTAAAATTTTCAGGATGTTATTTTTTATTGTTAAACCTTTTTTTTAATAATTCTTCTTTTTCATTTAAATGATTTAATAATGACTGTATTAAACTATCCTCATAAGCAGTTGGCTTTCTTCCTTTCTAAAATAATATTAATATAAAATTACTTGTATGATTGTTTGTTCTTTATTAAAAAAATTTTGTTTCTCTTCATCTGAGTTTTCAAAACAATCATCTCCAGTTAAATCAAAATTCATCCTCTAATAAATTATAAATAAAAAATACTTAATAAATTGATTATATATCAATATTTGAAGGTTATTTCTTGACTTCTTCTAAGAATTTGATACAATTTTGTTTGTAATTTTTGTTAGGAAATGTAATATATTTTACATCAAAATCTGATAATGTATAAATAACTGCATTCATCATTAACATGTATAAACTATTTTCAATATCTAATCCTTTTTTGACATTATCCTTTATTTATTGAATTATTGGAGATAATTTCATCTTTTCCAATGAACTTCTATAAACTTTTAATATTAATATAAATAACTTAATCAAATAAAATTGAATGAGATTAATAACATAAAATATACTCTAATAACAATAGAAGTTTTGCATCAATCATATTATTTTGAATAATTATAATATTAATTTGATTAAATGTTGAGTCCTGAATAAATATATTCAATTGTATATAAAACAGATTCTGGAATTGAAGGTTATGCAATCCCTAGATTTTATCATGATCCAGCTGAAATGATGAGAAATCGAGATTTATTAAAACAAATAGAAAAAAGTAAGTTTTATCATCTTATATACTTTTAGAATAAGCACATAAAAGATATGAAACAAAAAAAGGAAGTTATTTAGATGATTACACAAAAATGTTTAAAAGTTATCCTAGTCCATTATAATATTAATCATACTCAATACAAAAAGTCCCAGATAAAAATGTTAAATATCCCAATCGATTAACATTGTTTGATCAATTATAAAAGGAATAAAAAAGAATAAATAATCCTCCAGTTGGAGCTTATAATATAGAAAAAACATAAGAGTAAATAGAAAAAGAGCTTAAAGTATTAAAAACTAGAAAAGTCAAAGCACTTTAAAGACCTGATCCCTATGAAGATGCTATGGCTCACAGCATTATGGTTCCTGGTCCTGGAAATTATAATCCACATGTGAGATATTCAAAAATTATAAAAGTCATTCTTACCCAAAATTAAAGTCAATAATACAAAACCTGAGGATTGGAGAAAAAAACATAATATTGAAAAAAATAAAAGTCTTCCTTAACTTCCTCCTGTTGGAACATATACTCCTATTCTTAGTGATTCTTTTGCAAAGATTTAATGTACTGCTCCTGTAAAAAGATCTTATTGGGGAAGTGAAAAAAGATTTAAAGGATTATTTGGTAGTTCCTCTATAGGTCCAGGTCCTGGTACTTATGCATAATTAAGTAAATTAATAGCAAAAGGAGTTGAAAAATCTATTTATCAAGATTGAAGTATTCAGATAGTATTTTTAATTTTAATAAACAATTATATTTTTTTATGTTGAGCAATTTAGTATATATTTTTTAATAAAATTTTATTAAGATATTTGTTATAAATGATATATGATATTTAAATTATGAAAAATTAGAGAATATCAAAAAAATTGAACAATTGCGAAATTGCCATTAATAGAATCAAATCCAAGTTTAGAATGAGCACCATTTTAATAATTTATTCTTTTTTCATACTTGCTTTTACTTTTGCAAATCTTGCTATATGTTTACATATGTAAATCACTCTGACAAGTAATCAAATTGAAGAAATCTCTAATTAGTAATTAAAATTACAAAATTCCAAGTGAATTTCATATTTTAATATAGAGCTTTAAATATTCAATCATAAGAGACAACTCATTTATTTCAAATAGCTTTTCAAATGGCAATTTCAAAAATGGAAAAATTAACCACTCTTAACTTAATAACATCTATTTAAGGAGTGGATACAGTAAAAAACATATCATCTTGTCATGTGGCTTAATAATTTGATGATTCAATTTAATAAGTTACTCTATGTCTCTCAAATTCAGCAACTTAAGAATAATAAACTAATTATAGTAAACAATTTATTTCATTCCTCAATGTTTTTGAAAGTCTATAGTAAATTTTTGACTTTCCTATAATTTCCAAATAATTATATTTAGTTTCTCCTTATGATCACTTCTTAACTGCTTATTATCCAATAAAATTAAAAAATGAAACAAAAGAATTAGTTTAATATGACTGGTTTATTAATTATACAACTGAAATTTAGTAAAGTTAAAATCCATCCTTTTTTAAGCTTATTCCTTATGTAAAGTTATAAAATTATGAATATTTATTTGCAGCATTAACTATATTAATGATTGATAAAAATCATTAAATCAATGGAATTGGAGTGTAGATTATAAACTTTCCATTACTTTCTCGTATCCTATTTATTGAGAATTTAAATATTATTCTAGTCTATGAAGATGGTAAAATTATGTACACATAAAGTTATATTAATAATGGTTTAGAAAAAGAAATAAGATATATTTTTAATGAAACTGTCAGTGGTTTTAATTATTCTGATTGGGAATTGATAAAATATTCACTCAATTTAAATTACTCTATTTAAATATATAATAGATTATTAAATTAAAATGTTTATATTAAAGCTAAGTAAATTCCAGATACTCCTTTAATATCATTGATGTATTATTTTTAATTTCTATTTAGATTAACTAATATAACATATGAAAATGAAATGTAAAAGCTACTACATGAATAGATAGACTCAATATAAAATTGGTAATTAACATTAATATCTTATTCTACACTTGCAAGCATTTTAATAATTTTATTAAGTTTAATACCTTTAAGATCTTTATTTAAACCAACTTAAGTTGTAATAGAAATGATGATTAAATATTTATTGGGAAAATTCGATTATAAATTGAAAGATCAAGTTATCAGAGAGAATGAAATATAAGAAATGAATAATGTTATTAATTAATTTTACTAAGCCTATTAAAGGGTAGATATTACATTAAATTAATCACAATACGTTAAAAATGAGCATTGTATGTTAATTGAAAAATTTTTTTATTAATAGAATATAGGTACTATGTTAAATCTTTCATTTGAAAATCTGAAAAATAATAATGAATAAATTAGTCTATCTGAATTTTAACAATTTATAGCCATATCAAATTTTGTTGTTGGTTGAAACCATAATTTGAATCAATTTGTATATATATCTTTATTGATTTTTATGAACAAAATTAACCAATATATAATTTAGTTATCGTTATTATATTTTATAGTATTTTTGAATAATTAATTATTTGTTGAATAATCATTTTAAAACTTACATTACTCATTAAGGTATTTAATTAGAAAATATTATCTTTAAATATATAGTTTATATAACTGAATTCTAAATATTAAACATGACTCATTTTTATAATATTTTTGAGAAATAAATAAATTTTTTTAATTTCATAAAATTTTAGTAGATTTATAAATCATGAAATTTACTTGATACAATTAAAGTGTGTGTTATAATTAATAATCTCTTAAGCGTTGATTATAAAAAGTTATCTGAAAATTATATTCCTCATTCTAAATTTCAACTGATATAAAGAAAAGCAATCCGAATTCATTAAATAAGAATATATAATAGATTAATATAAATAAATCAGATACTTATACAATTTTAATAAAAATGAATAATATGTAATATACAAGTAAAAATCAATCAAAATTATATTTTAATAAATGCAATAACTAATTATAACATTTATCTAAATTTTCCTAATATATTTAAATAATGTATTTATACTTAATTTAGAGGACAAAATGTAGGCATGAATGAATTAAAGTTTTGGTCAATCCAAAAATAGGCGAAATATAATTATTTTTTATCAAATTTCTTTATTGAAGTACTCTATTCATTTTCATTGGAATGAGGTTTCCAAAATTAATTACTTTATGTTTGATTCATGTTTTCAGTAGGACTCCATCTTTTTAATATTGGTAAAGCTGAATAAGATCTCTATTTTTAATTTTATTCAACATCAAGAGTAATTTTTTTTTTTTATTTTTAATTTTTTCCAATACCTTAATTATCATCATTTTTTCTTTGTACATCCATTTTCTTAACTAATTTTTAATATAAATTTTCCCTTAATGTTAAGATGAAAATATACTTATTGTCATTCTCAAAATTTTCAATTATTCTTATATATGAAGTATTCTAAATATTTTATGGTTTATTTTATGCTATGCTAGGTCTTTATTCTTTTATTTGGTTATTCTGAATATATTATTTTTCATTTGATTAGTTCTTAGCAATGAAGTTTTATTTAGATGATGCAAATGATTATTGAAGTTGTTATTACTATTTTGAAGGTTTCATTTTTAAAATAATTAGTTCGAAATTAAATTTATAAAAGTTTAAGTATAATCATTAAAATAAGTAATTTATTTGAATTAAACATTTATCTAAATAATAAAAAAGAAGAATATACTATTAAATATATACTAATATTTATTTTTTAATGTTATCAAACATACAAATCCCTTCTAGTTGGGAATGGTTTTTGAACCTTAAAATTAAGTTATGTTTCAGGTTTATTTTAAAGTATTGTTTCTATTCTAGTTTCAATTTCAGGGGTAATTAATTTTATAGCTTATATTGACTTAAAAGTTTCTTCTAATTATTCAACTCTTGATGCTGATGTAATGGCAGTACTAACATCTTTATTTTTCAAAGCCCAAGCTAATGATAGTTAGGCTTATGTAATATTAAGTTCTTTAGCTAAATCACCTAATTACTTTAATTGTGACTAAACTTTAGCGGCATCTTTTTATTTTATAAATATAAATATAATACATTCTGGATTTCCTAATGTTCTTTCATAAAAACTTTTTAAATAAGGATTATCAGTATTCTTAAATCTACCATCTGCTAAAATATCTTCATTATATTTTCCTGTTAAAATTCCTTAATATAATGGTGACCAAATTGTAGATCCATAACCTTAAGCAAACACATTATTATAGCCCCATTCAAACTTATCTCGAACTAACATATTATATTATGGCTATTCGGCAACAGGTTTGATAAGTTTTAATCTATCACATATACCTTTTATAATGTAAATATATTACCTATTGCTTCTAAGATTTATTGAGCTGTCCATTCACTAGTTCCCCAATAATGAGCCCAACCATGTCTAACTACCCAATCAAATGCTCTACAAACCTCTTCCAAAGGAGTTTGTGGATCATACCTATGAGCAAAGACAATGTCAACATATGTTAAATCCAATCTCTTAAGTGAATTATTGAGTCCTATAATTATAATGAAAATAGATACCTTCAATAATATGTTTTCTTGAAAGAAATCTGGAATTTGGAAAATCATCTTAAGCTGTACCAAAATATATCTTTGTGCTGATTACAATATCTTGTCTTTAGACATTAAGTGTTTTGAGAGCACTTCCTAATTGTATTTCTGCTTTTCCTTTTCCATAACCTTCTGCTGTATCGAAAAAGTTAATTCCTAATTCCCAAGCCTTCTATATAATTTTAGTATTTCTTTCTAAAGTTTCATTATCATCTGCATTTAGCCAATTACCAAATCCAATTGCAGATACTTTGAGTCCTGTAGATCCTAGTCTTCTGTATTCCATTATGTTATTAAATATTATCAATATATATTATTGTTTATTAAGATTGCATTCTGAATTCTTAAATAAGAATAATGATATTATTAATAATACTTTACTAAGTGAAATTAATTAAATATGATCAATTTTCAGCAATTATTGCGCATTTTATGATGTCAATACATTTATGTTCAGTCTCAAAGTGATTAAATATTGCTAAAGCCTAAATATAATTCCATATTTACATCTAAATATTAAGAGATGCCATTTAGTTCTTTTATAGAACTCATATAAATTATATCATCTAAAATATCTTAAGCATCAGATATTTTATATCTATAGAAAATGTTCTATCTTACATGTTTACCAATTTATGAATAAATAAAATTTGTTAAGTGTCCAACTATTGTTTTTATTATACCTGAATGATAATAATCAAATATTTTTATAATTTAAGAATCTTAATTTATTAATCCTTAAACAATAACTTTTACTTCAATAGCATCAAATTAATTTAATTCAATAATCTCTTTAACACATCTTAGATACTATTTATATAACCATTTACAATGATTTCCTTAAGCAAAAAAAAATAAACCTTTTAAAGGATGTTTATTGTCATCAAACCAACTCTTTAAACTAATTTCAGCTTAATCAATCATATTTTATGCTTTTTAAATCTAATTTAAAAATTAATATGATTCACATTATATTAAATACATAATTGAAATATAAGGATGAACCATTTACTATTTGATTGGTAATATTTTTAAATATCCATCAATTGCTCTTTAAGCACTTTATGAAGCCCAATTATTTATTAACTTTTTATTTAATCCAAATTTTGATGCTTGAAAAATACTTAATTAAAAATCCAAAATTTTTAATCTATAATCAATTTCAGTCACATCTGCCAAAATATTCAATTTTAGAGAATAATATGCTTATTATTTCTTTTCTTCATTTTATATTTTTTATTTAATATCATCAACTTAATTTGTGGGATCATCTATAAGTTTCTCTACCAATTTAAAATCTTCAACAGATTATAAATATTTAAAGTATTCAGCATATATCATCTAAAGATAAGAAATATGTTATCTATTTTCTAATCCTAATTACAATTAAAATAAAAGATTAATCTTAGGCACATTCTATTCTAAATTGATTAATATTCTAATATGATTCAAAATAGCTTCATTCATAAAATCATTATTAAATAAATGAATATAATCTGAGTCTGCACTTTCATCTATTAAATATTCATATTCAAGTATTTATAATTGTTTTAGAGTTGCATTTATAGGATATTCTCGGTGCTATAAAAATTAATTATATATATATTACTAAAACATCATTCACAATTGAAATTATGATCTTTTCCTATTTAAGAAATGTATTAATATATTAAAGAACTTTATGAGAGTATTTTAATGCATTCTCAAAGTCAATCAAATTTATATAATATTTACATTAAAAATCGGCTAATATTGCATATATCAACGTTCCCTCTTTGTAATCATTTAATTTTAGTCTATGTTAGTTAAATAAATTATTATAAATACATAAATTATTGTTTTGGTTCCATCTAACCAGTCATTGAATTAACAACTTCTAAATAACATTTATACAAATCAAAATATCTAATTAAATTGGATTGATTCTTTAATTGTTATATAGATTCTTATAATATTTCTTAAATTAAAAAATAGTCTTGATTCATTAAGATATTAAATAATAAGTATTATGAATGAAATTTAGGATCATCAAAATATTTAAAATCGTTTGTGTATTCATATAAATATCTTTGTGGATAAGGAATATTTTGATTTGAATCTTTATAAAGACTTTCTACAATCTATAAATCTTGTTCAAAACCTGGATGGGTTCTATGGAAAATGAAGGCTTATGATTATAGTAATCTAGATGTAAAACAATGTATCAAATCAACAATCTCTATTTATTATAAATAGAGAAAGGTATGAAGTAAACCAAGAATTATTATAGAAGGTTAAATATCATCTGTTATGATATCATCTATCATCTATATTGAGCTTTTTAAACTAGAATGTTATTTAAGACTACAATTCAAAAATTAACAAAATATTTAGTATTATTAATATTTAGTAAGGGAAGAATCTATCAAAAATTATCCAGCCTATTTATTATTTATTTAAGTGCATTTTAATATTTAACAATAAAATTTTGGTTTTGATTAAAATTTTTTGATTTATAACACAGCATATGTGGCAATTTCAGATTCTCCTTAACCAATATTTTCAATATGTTTAGGTGAATAAGTAAAACAAATAGATAAAAAGTAAAACATTTGGATTTCCTCTAAACATTATTAGAAAAACCAAGAGTCTTTCTTTATTTTAAATAGATTATGATATTCTTGCAATAATTTTATATATGAGATTTTGTTCGAAAATCTAATTTATTTTGTTTTTATTTATTTTGGTATTGAATGACTAATAGGTTAAAAATTATCTAAATGTAAGATTTATTAAATTAGTTTAATTTAAACTAAACAATTATATGAATCAAATGTAATAGGTAATTTACAATTGATTTTAGAGATAAGTAATTTTCTATTTTCTAATGTTCGTTCGAGATTTGAAAAAATAAGTAGTTATCTTTTAATAATTTCATCATCATTAGAATAAAAGAGATGTAAATATTTATGTATACATATTTCTTACCATTTCATAATATTGATACATAAATATTTACCAATTTCACATTTCATTTCTTCCTCTAAGTCTTGTTCTGCAATATCTTCTTTTCTTAACAATTTTAATTGATTTTAATAATATTTAAATACAGGTTCATATACTCCATTTAATTCCTAAAAGTCATTGTAATAATATTAAAATTATTCATTTTTACTATCATAAAGATTTATTAAATATAAAAATTTTAAGTAGAGTAATTAAGTACAATATAATTAATCTCCATTAATCAAACAACCAGTTTTTGCATCTGTATTAGCTGTAGCAATTTGTTCATCTTCTAAAGGAGAAGACTATTCAAGATTTATTAATCCTGGACTATGATCAAGAGGAACATTTAAACATTAAGGTGCTGGTTCTCTTAATACTAATTTTTCTTAATTAGATATTATTTCTAAATATTATATTCCTGCCATAATAAAGTTTTGGTTGAAATAGGAATCTATAGCTTTTATTGTTAAAAATTAATTTAAATATCTTTGTAATTATGTTTGATATTGAACAATTACAAGAATATAATCTTAATTTTTTCTTAATGTATTTATAAGATTCAATCTTTCAAATGAACTTATAGATGATTACTTTTCTGAAGTTTATTTCAACTTTCTTTTCAATACAATACATTATTCAATTTCTGATAAATTTTCTAATTTAACATTTAAACTTAATTATCTAAACATTACTCTGATTTATGCACTACATCTTTTTAATCCATCAATTAATTAAGAAATCTCATTTTCAAATTCTTTTCTGGTTGAAAATAAAGCACTAATTTTAAAATAATAAATTAATAAAGTATCCAAAACTTTTTTTATTTCATTTGACCTCAAAATATATTGACTTAAATTTTTAGAAAATTAATTAACAAAATAGGGTAATAATTCTTATGTAGTTTAATAATGTGTGATTCTAAGGTATTCTTCTACTTCTTTTATAAGTATTAAACATTTATCAAATTACTTAATTCTAAGATGGAAATTTATTTAATGTTTCATATTTTCCATATATATTTAATATGATTGTTCTTTTTTCACATTAGCTAACTAAAAGTCTATTTCCCAAAAAGGTTTTTGATCTAACATCATATCAATAATTTAAATAGGAGTTTTATCACCATGAATTATTTCTATTAAAAAATATTTTAATGGATGATCTAAATTTTATAAAGCCTAGGTAAAATCTTCAATAGGCTATAGATATATCATTTCAATAACAACTTAAATTAATTACCATACTTAATTATTATTTTAATTGACTGAATTTAAAATCATGTATTCATTTTAAATAAGAATATAATTATATATAGAAACATTCATTATATGATGTTTAGTCATTATCTTTAAATTTGCAAATATAAATTATCTCAATTCATCTATTGTGTAATATAAGGCATATTTCTTTCTGAATTATAATACTTAATATAAACTTTTACATTCTAAACATTAATATAATGATATGCAATAACCTTTAATAAAAAAGTCATCAATTTAATCAAGTATATTCAATTATTTAATATAATTTTTACTTTCTCCTATATATACTCCTAATCCATCATTATGATATTATTAAAATTATAATTATTAACCATGTCTAACTTAAAAAAATTACATTAGATATTCTTTATCTTCTATTATAACTATCCAAAGTATATCATGTAAGTGTTTCTTCATTTTTATATTTGGAATTTAATTCATTTCATCAAGAAAATATTACAAAGCATATTCTTCTACTTTCTGTGAATGCTACTCAAAAATATAAGTATCTTTAGCTTTATCAATAACATTTTTATAAACTTCTGATTTCAATTATTCAAGATAATATATTTTTTGTATAGTTCTACTGTTTGTAGATGAAAATACGAATTGTTTTTTTTACCTAAATAAAATTATAAATAATAATTTACTCATATTCTAATTTATTAAATAAATCAATAAATTGATTAAAATTATATTGATGAATACATGAATATTATACAATAGTTCCAAATTTCTTATGAATGTCTGACTCAAATTGAATATCTTCTAATTTTTTTGTAGCTTCATAATATTCTAAAGCATATTAAATAGATTATTTCCTTAAAGTTTATTTTCTAAATCCTCTAAAAAATAATCCTTTGTATCTAAATATTTATACTTTTCTACAATTTAACCAAGTTCTTTTTTCAATATAATTCTGATATTTATAAACTAATTCATTATATTCTTTAACTTCTTCAGATGTAAGTGTATTACCAAATTATTGAAATTGTTTTCTAAATTTTAACATAGCTTAATTTCTATAATATTCATGTT